TTCCTAAAACATAAACAGGACCCGATAAATAAGAAAACAGCCGAGTCTTTCTATTTGTTTAAGAAATACTTTGTTTTATAAAGTATAAAAATAAAATAACCGAATGTATTTATATTTGTAAATGATGTAGAGCTTATAGAGAATACTTGATTTTTTAAATGTAATGTTTACCAAAAAACGTAAGAAGACGCGTTTGTTTCTTTATTACAAAGGCTCTGATTCACTTGCAGGTAATGTAATGCCTAACTTTTCAAACAAAGTTACATTTTATATTATGCACACTGAATACTCTTTGAAGATTAGGAGATAAAACTTTTTCTTTTAATAAGGAATACGTTACAATTAATGTGTCCTTGGATGATTTGTTGAAATACCATCGTGACCACTTCTTCCGTAAGTTTTGGTCCACATAAGTAACTGACACAAACAGTTAGTATATCAACTGGATTATTTACCATACTGACTACCTCACTTAAATAAATCTGCGGAAATCTTTATTGTGTGACTACTTTAACAGAAAGTTATGACTATAAGCATAACGCTCTATCTTTACGAGTCAATATCAATATGCATTATGAACAAATAATATGTATTAGAGAATTATTGCTTTGCCAACATCTTTACTTAGAGTAGTCTGTATTGTTTATTAATTTGGCAGCTGTATTTATGCGAAATAATTAGTGGGCACACACTGATAGCAATTTAAGAAACAAATCTACACTAAGTTTATTAAGAGGTGGTAACTTGAAAGAGAAAAGTGACATGTGATGATTTATTTAACGTACTCTTATTTACAATCACAGTATGAATTCTTCGCTCACAATGTGCAACCAATTGCATTACCCGTGAGCTAGGTTTATTTCTTAAAGTATGACTTTTGCAAATCTACTTTTTATTTATTCCTTAAATTAAACATACAATTTAAATAATTTATAGAAATTCATTTAAATAAATCGGTCAGTTAAGTAGTAACTCAAAATGATTGATTAAGGGTCCTATAAACAATATTGACCTGAAATAAGGAAATGGTTAAGGTAAAAATCTAAGATAATATATTGAATTTCTTGTTGTTTTCACACCCTTACATCATTATAACCCATATAGTCTGTACATCACTTAAGCGAATGCAGGTGAAGCTTACTAAATTTAAATTTTTCTTTAGTTTTCATGAAACTGGGTTAATGTTATCCTATTAAAGGGTAGCTTTCACCCCCTACAACATACCAGCATCATCCATACATGAATTGTAAAATTCTTTAAATCTCTTTCTTAGATATCTTAAGATTTTTTACTGATTATAGAAAAAATTGCAATCCCTGTGCCCCCCCCCCCCCTACAAAATTAAGTAAAATTCTGACTTTATCTTCGTTATTTTAGTATAGCACATGACTGAGATGCGGAACTCTTACCCTATTCTGAAATACGAACTATAAACATGATTGAGATATGGCGCACTAGCCACGCTACTTACTGACCCTGGACCTCGCACTATGTTACCATAACTAAGAATCTTGCAGACAGAATCATTTGGCGTTGTGTACTTCCGAAGACTCTTTCTCCATGAGCTGTATTTCAAAGTTGGAGTAATAGTAATGTTAATTAGAAATTGAAGTATAGCTAATGGTTTATGCAAGAGTACAAACTTAATTATTATAATATAATATTGAAGCAGACATTGTATCGGTAAAAAAGTGAGATGTACAGTTTTCAATTTTTTAATAACTGTAAATACAGGAAATGCATCGTCCTGACCGCTTAGTTAATACAAGAAGCAGTTTTTTTTAGTTAAAAAATTTTTAACGACTATTCATTACATATCACTTACGAATAACACATCAAAATCATTTGGAAGTCGTAAATATATTTCGAGGAGAAATTTTCCATGTAATATTAAATTTAAATAGATATAGACAGCAGTAATAAAAATAAATACTGATTAAATTTAGGTACTATATACTATATACTATGCTTACAAATGTGTAAACAGAAGTTATAATTTTTCGTGAAATAGAAGTTAATGTTAAATTTACATTATCAAATTAGTTCCTTCATAATAGAAATTTTTTGTATGCTATGTAATTTTTATATTATAAATATAGTAAAATCTGCAGGTGAGAAAAAATCAGATACATTTAAAAAAAACTTATAATTTTCTTATTCTTATTATATTTGAATCATGCAGCTGATGTTCAAGATTCCAAAGGTGGTATAGAATATAGTATTGCACGGGAATCTGCCTACGAAAAAAGTATTAGATAAAAATATAATAGATATCCGGCGAATTTTCCCTTATTTTGTTGGGAAAATATCGTGTGGGGTGACGGAGAGGGCAGATCGTGTGGGGTGGGCTTGATTCTTCCTATTAATAGAACTATATATACCAGTGGAGCTCTTACTCCCTTTGCGCTCTGCACGCAAACGTTCTCAAAACCATCATGGTTTATATTTTGAGTTATTATTAATATCTTATTTAAGTTTATTTCTTTTACTTACTTTGATTAATGTTTACTGGTATGTATTTGTAAATATTAGTAATTTATTGCTCATGATTTGTTAAAATTATTATTTTACTTTATCCTTATTGTACTATTCTATAATTTGGTTAAATTTCATTCTTTCATTTAAAAGTTTTTGTTCGCTAAACTTTTAAATAACATACTTTCTGTTGTGGAAAGTTTCATCACACTTTTTAGATAACTATACTTTGTTTTGACATCCTTTTTTTACCAGAGCAATTTTTTCGATTTTAATGACTCCTTACTAATTTTTGATCTCACAATATTGATATTTATTTCTTGTCAAAATTTTGTAAATTTTTTTGACTCAACGTAATAAAAAAAAGTGTGTTCTACATAACTTATACCTAATATCCAGTTTTGTACTTCTTTTTATCCTATATTTTAATATCCACTCATTTAAAATAGATATGCTCTTAGTATTATTTGGTGTATATCAGGACATATGTTATTTATTTTCTTATGATATCCATTACTTTTATTAACGACTTAACTTGTTATTAACTTTTATTACAACGAAAATCTATTTCCTGCTCTTTCTTGTCAATAATTTATTACATCAACATCACATTTTGGTTCAATCAATCAAATCTATAGTTAAAATTTTTTTTGTACATACATTTTTATACAGTTAGAATAATCTGAATAATCAAAATTTTTCAAATTCATTTTTCATTTACCTAATATTAATTTTTTTTTAATTACGTCCCTGAATTATAAAACTATGGAACGCGAATTTTAAGCTATTTTTAAATATTGAGCTACATACTGTAATTCACGCAAAAATGTTAACAATCAACCATTCCAGCACTCATTGTAAATGCACAATGAATATCCTATGCGATTTCGATATCAACGTGTATGAAAATGTGAAATCCGAGAGATTATCGTTTTTAACCATCAATATGTATCATAACCGCACCATGATTTTTCTTGTGTCAATCAACAGTAATTATGTTGATCTCTGATTGGTCGATTAGATCTCCAACCTGATGTATTATATAAAAAAAAAAATATTTTTATTTACGATGTCACGTTCAATTTATCTTCTTGTAAAATATTTTGATGAAGTTTTTATTTTAGAAGAGACTCTGACGTGTTTAAATATTTGGTATGCATTTTACGTATTATGTTAGTCCATCGATAAAAAATTTTCATTATTGCGGTAAGCTAATAGATATAAAATAGTTTGATCTCTTAGAATCACCAGAAAAATGAAAAACAAGATATTTATGTTGAAAAATATTTCAAAACCTTGACAATTCTTTGATTAATAATATTATGTTATTGCCTCACAATATATGTACATGTACACTGTTCGAACAACAAAATTCTAAGTAATATGATAGGAAAAATAGTAATTCAGTACAGCGTCGATTATGCGACTTATAATTGAATTTTCAAACAGTATTAGAAAAGTTTAGTTGCTCCCCAAACAAAAGTTTTAAATTAGTATTACCATATACATAGATGAAGACTTTCGTAATGTTACATGTTTATAAAAACGTGATATATTTGAGCACAAATTTGGAGCACAAAACTATTATTGGTGAAAAACAGAAAAACGAGGTTTTTATAACAAATAACAATAAACATAGATAACTTCTAAAATAGCACATTACATCACTAGGGCACAAAGTACAAACATGAGCGCCCGAAGGGCGCGCTTGTTGTAGGTTGGTGCCCGAGTCGCGTATAATGTTTTTATTACCGAGGGCGCAAAGTGCAATTTTGCGCCCGTGGGCACACTTTGCGCCCAGTAAATCACTTTGGGCCCTAGGGCAGAAAAGTACTTTGGGCCTGGAGGGTGCAAAAAACTTTTCTGCCCGTGGGCCCAAATTGATTACAAGGGCGCAAAGTGTGACCCGAAGGGGCAAAGCGGCAGTTGCACTTTGGGCCCATGGTAAGAAATGGTAGTTTTCCTAGGAGTTTGAAAAGTCTTTGTTTACTAACCGAGAGGTTTGCGGCCTGAGCGGAAGGCGAGGGACGTAACGAGGTTCGTAAAGGAGACTTTTCGAACGAGTTTTGGAAAACTGTTTTTTCGCCTGAGGAAGTACCAGCCTTCCAAAACCACCCGAGGGCGGAAAAATATTGTTTTCCAGGACATTAAAAAACCACCTACCTGAAGTCAAAATAAAAAAAAGTGAATGTTACAATCACCAACTATTACGTGTCGTAAAGCCACCAAATTTTTTAGGTATTTGCGGTAATAACAGTTATATTAGTGCAGATGCTTTAATCCAAGTGTAGAAATATAGTTATTAGAAATAGATGTAGTGAGCTGAATCTTTTATGTAGGCGCTTGAGTTGTTGAATAAATGTTAATCATCAAGTCTATGCTAATTTTATAATACATACACAAATAAGTACTAGTCTACATCTTACTAACAATGCCAACCTTTTTTACTTCATTCTTTAAGTTTATTTATAATCGATTGTTATTTAGTAACCTAAAATAGTCTATTAATATATTTATGTTTTTAGGTATTACGAAACAAGAAATTGACAATTTTCCATGTGGTATAAAATTTTTTTTCCATTCCATCATTAACAAATGCAGAGAAATTCCACCCCCAGATTGGCCTGCATCAGTTTACAATCTGATTGAACGTCAAGATTTAGCTTCATTAAAGAGGGAATGTCAGGACAATTTAAAAAAATGCATTTTAGGTAAAAAAAAAAATATTTTATCAACCTTTGAAGAAGCAGTATGCAAAGATGGAATGGATTTTGATTATAATGTAAGTTGTACTATCTATTTTAATTAAAGTAGCAAAAACATTACTAAAACAAAATAATATTTTATTAACTTTAATGATATTTTTTTTTGTTTTTTCATTTTTTTCATGAAATAAAACATAAATTGCTATAACTCAATTATTTTCATACAATACGTAAGCAAAAGCGATTACAGGAGTGAACAAAAAAAGTTTTGATCCTACAATCACCAAAAGAACGTTTCTTTAATTTTCACTACCATGCATACTTTACTGAAACCAGTTTTCTTCGTTACCTCCATTTTTAGTAGCAAATGACATAAGTCAATACAACATAGTATTTTTAGTGGCGTGTAAACGTTTTACTGCAGAATAATTTAAGGAACAATTCTACACTTGATGTTTCTCACAAACTGCTACATTTGCGCCTTAAAAAATAGTAGTTTTCCTACGAGTTTGAAAAGTCTCTATTTGCGAACCGAGAGGTTTGCGGCCCGAGCCGAAGGCGAGGGACGTAACGAGGTTCGTAAAGGAGACTTTTCGAACGAGTTCCGGAAAACTGTTTTTTCGCCCGAGGAAGTACCAGCCTCCCAAAACCACCCGAGTGCGGAAAATAATTTTAACATATAGTTCTCATATGAAAAATTTTTAAAACATTTAAAATAATATTTACTCAATCTCTATTGAACATTCAAGTCGTAAGACCCATCTATCAGAAGCAAATATTTTTTACCACCATATACCTTAATATGTATGTGTACACATACACATGTACACTAGTGGGGCTCTTTGCGCTCCACATGCCAACCCCCTATTACTCTAACTTAAAATCACAGAAAAGCGTTGGCGCGTGGTATCAGACATCAGACAAATCGACGAAGCCACGGTCAGCACTAATCACGCGCTACCACTTCAAGTAGACATTCTAGATTTGTTCTAAAAACAAATGCATCGGAATACGCGTTAGGTACTGTACTCAGTCAAGGTAAAAATTGGTAGCAATCGGCCTTGCGAATATGCTTCGTGCGCCCTGAAAGGCGCCAAATTGAAATATCCCATTAACTATAAGAAGGTCCCAGCAGTCGTCTTTGTAAAAGAAGAATCAAGAATACACACAGCTTAAAAAAGGCCGTACATTAAATCAACTGTCAATATCAACTATAAAGGCGTTGAATTTGAGTACATCTACTTTATAATTTAATTTTGTTCTCACTTTTTATTTATCTTCTTCACACATCGAGGCAGATTCTGACAACCTAGGTGTACAAATGCGACAAAATGCATTGGTTTTGAAGGACTCACTAAAACCGTAGATGCTGTTGAGCCCAAGATTATCTCCCAAAAGGAGAACCAACTGTAATTTCATAATCGACCTATACTCATTATTATTTATTGAAATACCTACAGTTTGGAGCTTACCTCACTTTTTAATCAGATTTTTTATAATTTGTTTGTTATAACAATTTTTCATCTTCTTTACTCGTACGATTGCGGGAAATAATATATTGCTTAAACGCGAAGATAAAAATGGTGGCAAAGATGCAATCGCAGCATAAGTCACACCAAATTTATTTACGCTCGTGTGGCTTTTAAGTAGGTTACCTACTTCAAATGTATCGTAGTACACAAACAACGGGAGCACAAAATTGTTATTTATTTTGGTTACATCGTTCTCAACACATAGTTTTTCTGGATCATCTAGGATATCATCTTTTTTCATTAATTAGCTTATCAACGTAAACTTTTATCTAATTCATAACTGTCAGAGCTTCCAGAAATATCCTTAACGAATGAGCAAGCGAGATAAAATAATTATAAATGCTGTTTCTTATATACGTAGCTCACTTTTTCATACTATGTTCTTCAAATTTCTTTTGAATTTTAAATTGTTGTGGTATCATAAAAACTCTACGTTTTAAAAGATTAAATCGATAATTTTCAGTCAAGACTTTACTAAAATGTATTAGTCTGGCTCTCAAAGCATGAAGTATTAAAAAAATTATTTTTTCTTTATTGTCTGTGCTATTAGTTATAATTACCACAACTCTTTTCGAAGACGATAAAAAAACATTTTTAATAAAATTATTTATACAATTAATCATGACATCAATAAGATTTCGCAGAAAATAAAGAGTTTTTATACATCTGTGAAATAAAACTTATGATATAGTTTAGTACTATTGTACGTTCTATCGTGATAACAAGATTATTTTAATTTCTTATAAATTAATTACTGTACTTAATAGTTTTACGAAAATGATTTTTATTTTTAGCAAGAAAAAAAAAATTAAAAAAGAAATAATTTCTAAACTCTGTGTTGGATGTTACTTCACTGCCTTGATAAATTCCCTTACAGTCTTTGAATCCTTAACAAAAAACGCAGGTGAAATATCGTGATTCACTGAATAAATAATTTGTTAAATAAAACACCAAATGTGGTTGCAGATTGGTGATCAACTGTGCAACGCTGAACATACTTAGAAACAGTATTGGATTGCGAGCAAGGGATCAGCGTATTCGTAGTTTTCTCAAATTATAATTACGTAACTGTTAGTGATGTTGTCAAAACTCCTAATAAAAATAAGATAGAGGTGTAAGTTGAATTCTTAATCACTCAATCTATTTCCAAAATTGCTGAGAAAACTTGGTGATGTAGTCCCCCTAGAAATATAAAATGCACTGAAAACATGTAAAATTACAAGAAATAAGTTTCCGATTGAAATTTTTTGGATCATTTAAATTTGTCCTAATTTATACTAACATCATGGGGATAGAAGTATTTTTGGCACATACTTGCGACTAAATTTTGTTTATGGTGTAATTAAAAATCGCAACTCAATTCACAGGGACACTGTACGACTACACGTATTTATTTTCAACAGTGCTGGTTACTGTAGTACTGTAATGTATCTTTTGTAATTTTAACGTCAATTTTACCGCTATCATAGAACAAACTTTAATTTTCAATAATTATTTAGCTTTCAAGTTTGTTTACTGACGTTGTAGTAGGTGATTCAACTCCAAATGCTGCTATATTTGACAGTATCTGTGATGTGACGTCTATAAGACATTAACAAGTTGGGCGGGGGGGCAGATTGACAGCTTTTACCACAGCTATAAAAGACATAAGTCCGATCACAGCATACAAATTTTCAGAATTTTATATCAGATAACAATTATATCAGAATTTCACTATCATTTTTTCCAAATCCGTTACTTCGATTTGTTTGAAGAAGTCGTAAGTGTCAGTGTACTAGGACTAGAAGGAATTTTTTTTTTCGAATTTTCAGAATGATGAATACATTCTTCTTTGTTACATCTTTGCCAGAGTATATCTTTGTCTAGTGCAATTTAAATCTCTGGACCGTTTCAATTAGTAAGTAGTAATCCTTTTTGTAAGTATGAAACGATGAAAACTTTCTTGGTCATAGGTATCTATTTTTGTAAGTGTAGATTCAATTTCAAAGTTGAGTGGATCTTAATTAAATTTTTGTGCTAGTTTTTCTTACTGATTTAAAAAAAGTTTGAATTTCATAGTCGTCCTTATTTTCAATTACTATTATACGAATAATGTCCCGTAAAATCTTATTATTAGTGTTTTTACTTGATTTTATAGATATTATACCAATTGTTGTATCTGCCACATTCCTGGCTAACTTTGTATAAGTCCTCGAGTTTGTTTTTTCAAATTTTTATCGTAATCTGCCCTGATTTGGGGAGCAATTTGCTAGATGTTTCGTTTCTTTCAGTTTTTATACTGCTACAAGGTTCGTTGTCCATGAAAGTATAGGTCTTTAATAATGTTAGGTACAAATTTTCTTCCACATTATTTAATTGAATTTATACTTCTATAGGCGCGTTTTGCCCTACGGAGTAAATCAACGATTTCAGATTGGTGACCTTGAGTTGAAAAAGTGTAAGGAAAGTGGATTTTGCTTTGTTTCTCCCCCTTCACCCTGCCCCTCTTGACGTACTTCCTGTCTCCAGTACTACACAACACAACTTTATATCACCACACTACACATCATCCTATCCCACTATACTATATATTTTGAATAGTTTTCAAAGAGATTCGAACCCCCGTCCTTTTACATACTGCGCAAGCCCTTAACCCACTCTGCTATGAGCGGGCCCGACATAGGAAAACCGATAACTTTATTTTGTCTTACAATTTGTAACGTATTTTCAATATAAANTACAACGGTTTTAACGACTTTGCTTTATATATTAGTAAGATTAAGTAGATAAGTTATTTAATAAAATATATTTTTTTGGTACATGTTTTTTTCAAAATCTTAGAACATTCATTTATTTGTGATCAGTTTGTTACTTTCAAAACAAATAATGTATTGTTTATGCAATTTTCCACATTTTTTTATAATTTTCATATTTAAAAAAAAAAAATTTTCGGTACTGTATAAATACAATAATTGATTTTTTTTGCGTTTTCTTCTTTCACAAAATTTCCTTTGTGATTCAGAACAAAATTCAGAGAAGTGGGAAGAGCGCAAATATATGCAGCAACGCTGGAAATTGTTTTTCTTATATGGGTTGGCTTACGTACACGCTTTTACGCATACTTGACCCCTTCTTTGGTGTGTTGTTAAATAAAAAAAAAAAATATAGATCTGTTTAAAAATAAAATAGGTTTATCTAAAAGTAATCTTTCATACAAACAAAAATCAGGGGGTTTGTGCAGATCTTATAAATGTAATCGTAAGTGATTTTTCTATAAGGTTACATATTAAACTCCAAATTTTTTAAATTGAACATGTGAAAGATGGTACAATTAAATAATATGCAAAATTTTTTTGGGTATTTCTTATAGTATTTTAAGTTTACTTTTGATGCTTGAATAATATCTGTCAAAAAAACCTATGTGTGATGAACTTCCTGAAAGGACATTGTTTATATTGCATTGTGCTATAATATATTGTTTATAATGTTTCAGTTATTAAATATTAGAATATTTATTGAAATCACATCCAACTAACGTAGGTATACTCATTCCAACGATGATTGCA